TTACACCGATTACCATCTGGCGTCCTCCGCAAATACACATGCTGCTGTGCAAGTGGGACTCCATCAAAGTGAATTTAAATGGTTTACAGTCACCGAAATTCGTCACTGGTACTTTTTTTTTTCAAAGTGAGCCCCCATTAAGTATTTAGCATTTGAAATACACTTTATTTTTCTGCTCAGCAGTGAGTGCCCAGAAATGTGAAGTGTGATGATTAAGGCACCGGTCATTGCGTCAGTTCAGTATAAAAATAAGCCTTAACAATGTTAGTGATTAGCTGGTCTTCAATATTCATTCCTCAGATTTATAACAGTTAAAAGGGCAGGGTTTTTTTTTCAGGGGCCATCTGTGCCTGTGCAAATGTTGGAAAACAGTACCTCTAATTATCTGGTGACACATAGTGGCAATCAGCAATCAGCCGAGCAGTTTCAGCTTGCATATAGCTGGGAAGGTTTATGTCTCTGCTTTTTCTACATTCATTGTTTATCTGTTCAAGACCAATAAAATCGAACAGGTGAGGTTTTTTTTTTAAAGGCAAACAAAATTAATGACCCCTAATAAGTATTTACTGTAAGTAATACAGCCCTGCAATTATAAAGTTATCTCGCTAAAGTCGAAACTGAGGCTCCACGCCTATTTTTCATAATCGCCCGCCCAAAACATGACGTGATTTTTCATTTGAACCGGACGCTGCTCTCATTCTCCTCGTCCATATGTCATTGTCCTCCACGATAATCCTAATTACTGTGCGGTCAGGAATAATTGCTTCCTCTCTGGCATCATTACTCTCCCTGCTGTGGGTACTCTAACCACACACTTTTCTTTTTCAGTTTAAGATAAACAGCACATTGATTTCTACTCCGATCGGAGTCCTTCTCGTGTAACAGGTGTGCTTTCTGACATTGTGCCAAAAAACAACAATCAACACCTTTCACTGCTGCTTCTGTCAGTCTACCACTCCTCTCTGTTCTTCTCACCCCTCGGCTCCCGTCTCCTCCTCTCCCCGAACTCTTTGCTCCTTGTCAGAAAAATACAATTTTCAGAGGAGATTCACGGCGATTGGGTTAAGAGATCATCACCCACTCGTGTGCACCGTTCAGGTCAGAGAGGCAAGTAAGCGACGAGCATACTCGCGTCCCCAGATACATCCGGTTACCATGGCAACTGTACGTGAGCGACTGGAGTGCTCTGCGTTTGTGTCTGCGTGTGTGTGTTTAGCTCAGAGCTTCCCATTAAAGAGTAATCGAACGCAAAGACTTGAGCGTTGACAATACAAGGCCGCGCGGACGGTTGTGTTTTCATGTTTCTGGCTGAAGGGCAAGGAAACAAAAACAAGACTGTGATGAAACTTCTTTGTACAGGGAAATCTTCCATAACCCTTTAAGAGTCAAACCAAGTAGTTCAATGAGAAACAACAACCGAAACGTTTTAGCAAATGATGGGGCTAAAAAGGAAGGGGTAACTTCTTACAAGACAAAACTAGCTCCCATGCTTATTATAAATGTGACAAATATATCAACGTTTGGGAGGAGTGTGGACACATTTTGCACTTTGGTTCAGGAACAATAAGATACTTTGTGAAGTGTGTGGAGCAACTTTCAGCGGTAAAAACTTTTTAGTCAACTTAGTCAAACTGATGCGGGAGGGCTGCAGTAATAACAGAAATTCAACACTTTATATAAATGCATTTAATTATTAAATCCATTATGCATTTAATTAAGTGAATTAAAACTGGTAATAGCAGCTGGTTAGTTTGTGATAATACTCATCACTCTGACCTAGTGTCGAGTTTGTGTCCCAGCAGCTGGTCGGGGTCACACTTTGGCCTCAACACTTTGCATATAACTGGGTAGCATTAGCATTTTATAGCCGATAGCCTGTGTTGTGTATGTTTTTTGAATAAACATTTTGACTTTCTCTTCTATTTTGATTAGACTGAAAAGTTAAGGTTGCATGGGCCTCGTAGGATTTGTTTGATTGTTGGGGTTTCTCTCTAATACAGGCAACTGTGTGATTTTGCACTATATAAATAAACATTTAATGAGCTGAAATTGAATTATATTTAAAAAGATACAGCACAATAATGTAGGCAGCAAATTTTGATGTTCACCTAGACCATTCACAATTTCACATAAACTAACATTAACTTAATAATCAGAATGTTGTGGTTGACATTTCACTGATAGAAATGGATAAACTGTAGAAATGGAAAGGATAAATGATAAAACCACATTCATAAATGTCAAAAAATAGCTAGCTAAAGCATAGCTAGCACTAAGAAATAAAGAATTTATTTCATAAATAAATTTTAAAAAAATGAATAAAATGTTTGTAAATTTGATAAATGTGTGGTTGAATGACTAGCTAAGAGTACAAAAAGGTTATTTAAACACAGTGGAGAAATGGGTGAAATTAATAGATAACTGGTGTTAAATGGAGGAGTAGCTAAAAGTAGATGATAAAGTGTTTCAATGGTAATTTAACAGTGAAGGCCAGGTGAAACAGTAACTAACCATAATTGAGAAATGGTAGACTAAAAGCAGTTCTGATCCAGTTTAAAAGGAACATTTAGAAATAAAAGATGTTTTTGAGGTAAGCGTTTGTGTCAGACCATGCTGTGAGTGTACGTTACATCCTTTAACACAGGATGTCTCTAACCAATGGGTGATGTGATGGTGGCTACATCCAGCATTATATACACTCTCTTACTATGTTCATTATTTTATTTTGGCATGCTGATCAGTGCTAAACACAAATAAGTAGGCTGCAGCAAAGTCTATAGTACAATAGCTAGGCAAATGTACATTTTTACCTGATAATGACACAAAATAAATTCACCCATTGTTACAATTATCCCATAAGGGAACATGTGTTGAAAGTCATAATGTAAATAAAGTACTAAATATCAGGGCAATCAATACTACTGTGTCATGAGATGCAAACTGAGAGGGCCGCTAAGATCATTTGGCTTAATTTTTTGGGAAACACTGATTCCATCGTAATTCACCCAGTGGTGAGATATAGGTGACAAATACGAGTCCTTATTTTGATTTTCATGTCATTTTATTTATTAATAACAATAATAATAAACTTCTAGCGTGAGAAGATTCACGAACGGTTAAAGGAATCAAACCGAGGTAATACGTGGATCCAGAATCGATACAGGATGACACATGAAGCTGTAGACTGGCCCAGCGCATAGGCGTTATATGCTGCCATGCTATATTTAAACCTTGGCTTCCCACGTAATACTACAAGAGCTGAGACACATATGTAATGACAGCTTTACTTGACTACACTGTGATATCACGCCCACCCCTCCCAAAGTACATCTACAGGCCTGTGTGTTGCCACATTGTGTTTAGGGCCAGAGTTTAATGGGTAAGCCACGGGCCCAGCAGCACATACGCTGACCTACATCTCAGCGAGGGCCTTATGGGGAGAGCATGGGATGACTCATACATACAGAAAGGAGAATGGGATTAAACACCCGGAGTGCATGGCACCAATGGTGATGTGATTAGGTCACGGCTGACCTGGTACACACGAAACTTTCATAAAGAGGAACAATGACATCAAGCCGCATGTCTCCAAAAGCCAAATCCGTGTTGCTCAACACAAAGACATTCTTCTCTAAAGCCACAAGGAGGATGAATAAGACTTTGCGCTGTCACCACAATGGAAATCACAAGAGATGCTCAAGTCTCTAATGTAATTAACAAAGAGCTTGCACAATCTTCATGTAATTTAGTTACAGCTGACCTACTGACAATGTAATGTAATTGAGAGTGGATAATCAGGAGTGATTGATTATCGATCTGTGTAAACACTGTTTTTTTAAAATCAGAATTCAAATACTCTACGTGTGGGCAAAAGGACAGCCTTCAAAGTGAGCACGAAGGGCTCAGGGTGAGACTGCAGCCTGTGTCAAGACTTTCTAAGGTAAGCACTGGTGAGGAAGTGAATCAGCAAAGTGTCAGAGAAAACGGACCAGACTGACCTTTGTGCAGTTACTGGCACCTACTTGCTGACAACATCTTTATGGCTGATGGCGTTCAAGGTTAAAGTGCAACTTTACACCGGCGTTCATCTTTGGTGCGTGTGTGCTGACTATAAATACCACTTTTACAGTGACAGCAAGGTCAAGGATTTCATGGTGGGGGTAATGTGATGTAACAGATGCTGAACATTTAAAATCTATACATATTTCAAACAGAAGTGATGAGAGGGCGATCAGCTCCATCCTAAAATTTACCAGTATCACTGGCCTCATGCGAGTGATCGTTCTCCAGCTAGCGTCAATTAAAAACTTCCTCACGGTTCACCCTGACACAAAGGACACTCACACACCTCTTCCTGATCAGTATATCCACAGATACTTTTAACACGTGCAACATTAGTGCCCCTCATGAGGATATATATCTCCTAAGACTCCGAGTTCAAAGATACATTTGGATTTGGATCGTACATCCAGATGAAGGTAAAGCTCTGACTTATTATGAGCTGCCTTCAAGGAGTTTAGCATTAATGTTAAGGAGTAGTTTTACATTAATATGATTCCTGCAGAAATAAATTTGACTCCAGCTGCATGAATGAACATATTATGCCTGAACATATTAAAATATTATGTGTACTGGGACATGATAGGCTTAATGCATATTCTTGGGAGTTGTGTGTAAAGGGATCTCTTTGCAAAACTGACAAATTTCTTATTTATGGTTTCATAATGAATTTGCTCACCTGTGTGTGTACTTCATGAGCACAGGTTTAATTAATGCTGTGCTGTTCAAATATTATGCTCATTTTGCTATGATTTTTCTCAGCTGTGCAGACCTGTTCGGCTCTTCCCACGTCTCTGGAAACCTGCTAATTAGCGCTAAGTTCATACAAAAACAACACTACACTTCTTGGATGAGCTGTTTGTTTATTTGTACTGCCATAGTGATTATTAAAGAGCTGCATTAAAATGCTCCAAAAGGCACCAACGGCATAAACACAGTCGAGAAATCTTGATTTAGTGGATGTAGTGATGAGAGGTCTGGTTCTTTTCAAAGAGCCAGCCCAAATGGCTCTTCAGTTCTAGGCCTTCTGTTGTAGCCTAATGGTTTGCATGTTGATAAGCAACTTTTAAATCAGTGTTTTCATAAACATTTACCACCACTGTGGAGAACTTCCATGGAGTTTAAAGCCTGGCCGATAGTTTGAACCCTATTGTCCTCCACAATGGACAATGTACCTTTGCACTATACCCGCTGTTTTCAGAGTGTCTCTCCCCTTCCTTCTTTCATACAATGGTATGGTCCTTGTCTGTCTTTGCATGTGATTGGCTGTATGGGGGACCATCAAGATAAAGTCCCGCCTCTGCCAGCTGAGCAGGACCGTCTGAAGATTCAGTTCTTCTTGTTCACTACAAAGAATCAGCTTTCAGAGTCGTCTCGTTCGCAAGCGACACATAACTAAAGTGAAGCTGTGCAGACAGGACGTCAGTCATTTGTTGGGTTGTTTTGAAGCCAACCTCAAGTGGCCATTTGAGGAACTGCATTTGGTCCAAGCGTGCTTTTTTTGCTGCTGATGACCACGATTAACATCCTTCCAGATTGTGGGTCAAACAGCATTATGACTTTCAACACACAAGTGCAGTAACACACTCCTTTAAGGTGCTTCTGTAATATGTTACACTTTACAGCACCAGTGTGACCTTTTTTATTTTAGTATATTACGTTTGTTCTTGAGTGGAACGATGTTTAGTTTATCCACGTGCCATATAACAGCAAATTTGGGATAATAATCAGAGATGAACACTGACATTAGAGAATAAGACTTCACTACTTCTGACTCAATTTTGCAGTTGGATACATTTCCATGATGATTTACATAAACACATACTAAAACTACAATGTGACATAAAAGGAAATATCATTTGTTTGTAATTTTCTGTGATATTTTGAATAAATGATGTAAACTAATATTTAACTACTTCCTCTAAGCAGCTTTAGGAATCTAAACTACATGTTTCCATTGATCAGCTTTGCTGTAGTTCAGCTTCTCCAGTGGGAAGTAAAAATAGTTGGTAAAACTATGTAGTTACCCTCGCCACTGCCCAACATCCAAAGGCACCAATTTAATTATAATTTGATTTACTGACCCAACAATATACCCCAAGGATTTGGAATGAAGTCTATGTCTAACCATTAGCTTTACTGCCAACTGTCAAATGGCAAAATTCCCAGCTCCAACTCTCTGCCAGAATACAAAATGTTACTGGCTCAGAGTGTAACTTTCTACCAAACTTAATGGATACCTGTTTATGTGCTTTTTCCATATCCTCTGGCATTGAGAAAGGGAACCAATCAAATGGGGCAAGGTAAGGTAAGGTTCCTAATGTATGACTCCCTCCATCCTTCATTAATTCCATCTGTGAGGAAAGTGACTGATGTCATCTGTAAATGCTGGGCTCCCCCTGCTGGTTGTTACTATATTGCATCAGACAGAACCTGTATATTGCTTTGGGCTCACCTACTAAACAGGTGTTTGTCCACAGTAAGAGTAAGGGGTGAGCTGACCTGTCAGAATCAGTCTGGTATTTCTAGCCTGCCCAGGAACAAATGAAAAACATGAGAGAAGCAACAAAAAACACAAAATTTTAGTTTGACTGAATAATTCTTAGAAAAACCTTAATATGCATGGTTATTATATTTACAGTAACATAGTGGATCCATGTGTAGGTAAAGTGGTTGACACATGAACACATGAAAGATCACTGGTTTGAGACCATGAGGATACAGTCTAAATAAAGAAATACACAGTTTTTGTTACAAAGACCCATTATTTTAAAAACTTGCCTCCGTTTTTAATGAAGTAATAATGTACAACATAAAAAAAATGTCTACAAAAAAAAAATACGATAAAATTACGCCACAAAAAATCTTCTGTTTTCCTGTGACCCATTTTGTCTGTTATGTTAAGGCTTAAATATTTTGTCAAACTCAGTCTATGGAGTTTCCTGAACAGAAAAACATAAGAAGAAAAAAAATTTATTTGTTTTAACTTTGTCATAAGTTGAGATTTTGAAAATAATTTGCACAAAATTCTTGCAGGAGGCCTTGTTTATAAACACACGAGATACAAAATATCTAAATGAGAATAAAACGAACAAAATGTAAGTTCATAGTTATGATCGCTACTGTGCGTTTGTGTTTGGCAAGGCCACCTACATAGGTGTGTGTGTGTGCTGTGAGGAGGAGGGGGAGGGCGAGGCGGCAGCGGTGGAGGATGAGAGTGTGGACGGAGGGGGCTGCGGGGTGGCGGAGGAGGAAGAGGCGGAGGAAGCGGAGGCAGCGCTGGCAGCTGAGGATGACGTCTCTATCTTGCTGCTGTGCGTGATGAAGCGCAGACGCAGCTTCATGGCAGGACGCAGAGTCATGATGATTTTCTCCACCTAGACAAAGCACAAAAAAGGTGGATGGAAAAAGGATGAGAAGTGAATACAGTGATGTAGACAGAGCTAAAAGCAGGAACTACACAAGAAAGGCAATTAGGTTGTGTCAGAGAGGTGCTTTGTAATTACCAGTTAAGCATCACATCAGTATTTATCACATTTGCTTCTTTAGAATTACTGCACCAAAAACACAGCATATTGTGTCCTGTGGTGGCTTGGAACAAACCTGCTCTTATAAAGTCGGGCACGCCTCTGGGATTGCACCTCAGCTCAAACTAAAACGGCAAAAAAGTGATGAAAACCAGCCAAGAGATGAAGTCTCAGGATCGCCTCTCTACTTTTTGAAGATGATGAATTTCTTTAAGCGGTAACCTCCAGGTCACGCTGGTGAGGTTTGCAGCTGAGAGTGAACACTTGAAAATGAAAATTAGTGCCTCTGAGCCTTAGGCCGGGATTCTCAATTGGTCAAGAGTGGAGTGGCCACTCCTGATCAGGAGTAAGCTGTTGCTCCAAATGGAGGACTTTTAAGTATCTCTGGGATCTTGGTGTTTACAGAGGGAAGGTACTGGGTTCGAATCCATGACAGCCTTTCTGCTTGGAATCTGCAAGGTTTCTCTCGAGGTAGCCTGGCTTAAATGGTGTTTCTAAATTACCCACAGGTGAATGTGAGTTCAAATGGTTGTCTGTCTGTTAGTCTGGTGGCAGACTGATGACCTGTCCAGAGTGTATCCTCTCTTTCACACTGACACAGGATAGGCTCCAGGTCCCTTGCAACCCCTGGATGGATGGGTCTTGTTCACGAGAGAGGGGAACAGACTTGTGCAGTGTTGACATCCATGCAGAGGCTACCTGCTGTTGTGAAGCTGTACATCTACGGTCCTAACCTCACCTATGTCTGTGAGAACTGACCAAAAGAATAAGATTGCAGATATAAGCACCAGAAATGAACTCCATCCAAACGGTGTCTGAGCTCAGCCTTAGAGATTGCGAGGGACTCAAAGTAGAGCCGCCACTCCTCCACATCAAGAGGAGGAAGGTTGAGGTTCGGGCATCTGATCAGGTGAGATATTTCTGGCATGTCCCACCAGAGGGAGGCTCCAAAGAAGACCCAGGACATGAAGGAGAGATTACATCTGACAGGTGGCTTGGAAACATTGCAAAAAGAGGGAGGTCTGGGCATCTGTGCCCATGTGACTCAGATCCAAATAAGCAACAAAAAAAATGAATGAGTGGATAAATGGAGATAAAAAAAACAGCAACTGTGTTTTGAGGAGCAGCATGCACTCAGAATGTGTGTAAAAGCCACAGATTTCTTGTCAGTTGGTTTTCCCTGTTTTACATGATGATGGTTTTAGGGTATCTATTATTCAAAGGGTAGCACACTTTTTAATCTCTGTGCACATAATTACACAGTCCTACTGGCATGTCATCATTTCTCCAAACAAATTATATTTAGAGACTTTCTGTTTGGATTTATTTGAATTTCAGCAGCAGTTCCGTTTTCTGGAAGCTTTCATCTGCAACATAATAGGTCAATTTTGTGCACAATCTAAGCTGCAGTAGTATACGGTGGATAAAAAAAAAAGCAGAAAACAGGGTAACCCTTGCCTCAGTCAGGCCTCTTATTCAAACCTGCAGGGAAATTTCCGTTAGCAAGCGTGATATTTACAGACAAACAATGCTGTATGCACGCCTCTGCAGTGCAATTAAACAAGGCAATGCTGATAACTACACTGTATTTAGAGGGTAATATTTAGGGCTCATAAATAATATTAATATGGTTCTAGTGCAGTGGTGTCAAACATAAGGCCTCGGGGACAGAATCCCCTGATGATGATGCTAATCCGGCTCACTGGACAACTTTAGAAAATGTGAAGGAGTGCAAAGATTTTTAACTTTCAACTGTATTTTCATCATTTTTACAGCGTTTCCTATTGATAAAGACTGTTTCCCCACACTGGCAATAACAGATAAACAATTAAATGACAAGAACTTTCCTGTTCCTGTATCCACTATTAGCGAGTTCACAATAAATCAAAGCTTCCGTTGCTCGCATGCAGTTGGTCCAAAATGCCACAGCTTGTATTAACCAGTGCTCGCCCATCCTGGCCTCCTTCCGCTAGCTCCCTGTTTGTTTTAAGATTTTATTATTTGCTTTTAAAACTTTTCCTGGATGACCACTCGTGTACGTGTCATATGTTCACTCAAGATCGCTGAGGTACATGGACCATTTTTTCAGTAATCATCTCTTAATTATGGAATGATCTCCCTGCCCATCTTTTAGGATGATCTCCTCATTTAAAAAAAAAAAAACTCATCTGGCTTTTAACTCACAATGACAGTGGTGTGTTCTTACCTTCAATATATTATCATTTTTATTGTTGTTGTTTCATGGTTTCACTGATTGTGTGTGGTGTTTTGGTGCTTTGTACAGCACTTTGCCAAATTTGCATGTATAAAAAATGCCCTATAAATAAAACTGGATTGGATTGTTGTTGTGACACTGCTATGCTCCAAGGAGCCGTCAAAAGCTCACCTGCTCCTTCACGCTGTCTCCAGTGTACATGTATTTAATGTGATACAGGAAATCGCAGATCGGGTCCATGTAGCTGAGATGCTGACAGTGTTTGTCAACTGCCTGCAGCATCTCATAGAAGGCAACACCAATCTGAAATAGCAACACAGAACAAAATGTACAAAAATCCACCAGGAGAAAGACAAAACTAAATGATATCTTTCATGTAAGATAAACAGAACCGTCTGAAGTGTACCTCCAACATGCAACGCGTCCTCTCTTGCTGGAAGCGCTGAAGGAACGGCCCCACCAGGTGATACACGTACAGCAGCTGGAACTCTGTCTTGACGACTGGCTTCAGAGTCTCTGACAGGAATCTACGCACAGACACAGAAAGACATGAGGAGAGCAAAAAGAAACAGTCTTACAGGATAGAAACAAGGAGAGCGCCTCACTTGGGGATCAGAGACAGCTGTCCGATGGATGAGTGATGCCACACGGCGTGTGCTAATGCTAGCACGTAGCTGCAGTTCATTTCACTGTAGCTCTGGTGGCAGGCGGTGAAGTCAAGCAAGGCAAAGGGATAGCCTGTCCACTCTGTCTCCGATGTCAATGCCGGAGAGCTGATCACAGAAACGATGCGGTCGTGGAGAACGATCCAGTATGGTTCCTGAAGAGGAGATCATAGGTCGTCACGGCGGAAAAATCTGAACATCAGTTTATGGTGAAAGCTGAAAGTCAGAGTATTTTTCTTACTGGAAGTGCAGTGATCACAAGTCCAATGGCATTCATCCAGGCAGTGATGTTCTCTCTGGGGACCAGAGGCTGACTAAAAGGTGAAAGGAGAAGATGCTTTTAGGGATCATTAAAATATTCTGCATACACTACAGAACACTATTAATTCCAAAAAGATGGCATTTAAGCCTAATGAGACCCATAAACTTTACAGTGATTGCACATGGCTTGCTTACTGCACCTTTTCAACACAACATTAAGCAAAGCGTTTCCCACATCTTTTCCTGGCACGGCCAAAGCCATCAGCTCCACACAGGTGACGTGCAGGGCGTGGGCCGCAGGGTTGGGGAACTCGTTGAACCTCCAGTCACAGTTGGGAAAAGGACCCGGTGACTTTCCCGCCATGGGTGAGGTAAAAGCTAAGGAGGATAAACAATCACCAGAGGAGAAAACAGCCTTCATGGAAGCACGGATGTTTTACTTGTTCCACTTTTAATTAAACGCATATTGTTTTCGTGGAGCACACGAACCCCATCCAACCGATTTTATCTTGTTTTTAATAACTCTTTTCTACTTTAACAACCCCCGAGGCTGCAATAAAATGAGCTTAGATGGATTAATAAATACAATCCCTCTTTAAAGCTATTAAGGGAGACAAGAACTCACAGCGGTAAGGTAAATATACTTTCCAGCAGCCCAAAAGACCAATGACTTTCCATGACCAGACATTGGTCTTTTGTTGTTAAGAGTGATAGATTAATGAAGGATATTGTCCACAAGGCGTCCAATCAGCTTGCAGTAGTAGGTGTCATCAGGGATCCACACGTTTTCTTCACGGGCATTCATGCCAAACCTCAGATAGGTTTCGCTGAGACACCAGCCTGGAGTGCGGTTGTCCTGCAAAATAAAACGTTACACTGATATCAATAATTGCGCATTAGCTTTTCAGATACATGAATTAATGAATGTGTCTTCTCTGTTTACCTTCAGTGAAGACATGATGGCATGAACCAGTTTTCTCTTGAGGTTGGTTCTGTCTCTCAGGTGTCTCTCATAGTAGTGAAGGGTGTTGTACAGGTAGGTCACAGGGCGATCTGCAAAGAAACGCAGCGGTAAATACAAATCCCCAATTAATGGCAAAGTTCACCTTCCCTTTTTTATCCCAAAAAGCTGATTCTGATAAGTGGATGACTGGAGAAGTTACTTAGATGAGTGATGAAACATTTCTCCCACTGAATGAGCTGCCTGGGATTTCCTGTTTCAGAATGCGTTAAGATGTCCTAGTGAATCCAACTCCCCTCATCTTGGACCCGCAGTCCTCCTCGTAGCCCTACTCACCGTGGAACTTGTACAGCCCTCCCAGATGATCCAGCAGCGTCTCCAGAGACTTGGAGACAGGAAGGAGCTCCAGGAAGCGGTGGATGACAATGTCAAAAACGGGCAGAAAGCGCAGACACACATTCCCAAAGTAGATTGGCAGGTACTGAGGCTGGAGCTGCATGGGAGGGTTGACTTGGTCTGCGAGACCCTCAAAGTACAACTTCTCTGGGTATTTCTGGAAGAAATGGTCATTTTAAAACAGATTTGATTTCATTTCTAGATTTAACTTGACTTTTTGAGATGTCTCACAGTTGTGGAACTAACTTTTAATGGAACGTGTTCTGTCGCACGTATACCTTGTGGTAGCTCATGTGTTTGCTGTGCCAGTCGTTCTGCAGCCAGTGCTCGGGAGCATTCTCCTTGACAAAATCGTTGACTCGGTTTCTGAAGTCATTGGGCTTCAGCAGCAGCAGCTGGATTATGAAGTAGCAAACCTGAGCCTCGTTTCCCTCGTGGCTACGCATCGCCTGAAGGCAGAGACATGGACCCTTATCGTATTGCAGCATGGGCAAAGAAAAAGTGTAGAATCAATGATGTCTTTGTTACAGTATATAATCCTGTAGTTCTCCGTCTGTCCTCACCAGGCACAGAATGAGTCTATCCAGCGTGACTATGTTGTATTTCCAGACCATGTCATTGAGTATTTCAATGCACTTGTTAAGCTGCTGCCCGCCAGCTGACGTTGAGAACTCATAGACAAGGAAGTCGGCAAATGTGCGCACGTGAGCCACCAGTGCACGTGCTCCAATACGTTCCAAGACCCTGAGGGACCAAAAAAGAAATGGAAAACCCCCCACAAAAAACAGCAGTTAGCTCATCATCCCACAATAAGGCAGCTTTCTCCCTCGGGATCAATTAGTCATAGATGCTGTGTAGGACCCACCCCCGCAACCCCTTCCTGCTTAATTGATGTAAAATGTTAAATTTAAAATGCCTCAACAACAGTGATGAGATGCATCATTAACACAGGGTTCATTAAAATACACTCAGCAGTGTCTTTAATAGTGAGTGTAACCTGGAAACATAAACAAGTAATATTCTCGCTGATCACAGCTTTGGATTATTTAATTAAGTATATCTTTTCCCCCGCTGCGCTCTACTTTTTATATACATGTGGAAGCTTAACTTATGTATAACAAACCTAAAGCCTATTTGGTTTATATGGTCCATCTCCAGCAGCATCTTCCACAGCAGACAGAGGAACAGTGGAGGTGAGCCCTGCATGGAGAAGTGGGTGATGATGTCATTCTCATTGGCCATCGACTTCCACTTCCTGTACTCCTCCTCGACGTTCTTCTTCAGATTGAAGCGCGACTCCTGAGGAACGTTGTTCTGCTTGAAAAACGCCTGAAGCAAAAACAGAGGTCCAGGAGTCACTACAGCAAGATTCAGACGTTTTATTTGACAGAGAAAAACAACAATAAACCACAATTATTACTTGAATATTTTGCATAACATAATATCTGCACCTGTAGTGGTGCAGGGAAGCAGGATAGCGTGTGTGAGGCCCAGTTATGAGGCGTAAAACTCATGATTGTCTGCAGGATGTCCTTACACCAAGTGCCCTGGATGGAGTCAGACCCTGTGAAGAAATCTGCACATACAGAAAGCAGGTGACAAATAACATGAGACGGATTTCAGTCAAACACGATGATTAGAAGTGAAGCAAAAAGCGAAACAATGGCTAAAATGAAGCGGGCAGCAAAAAATAACAAACCCAAAACAACCCTGCAAATGAGGCTTCAAAAACTGAGTGAGTACCGGTGACGTGTGTGGCTCTGGCCAGAGTGAGAATCAGGGCGCGATTCAGCTCCTCGGATTCGGCTGACAAAACTGTCTTTGGGTCATTGAGGAAGCGGGTGAACTGCGGCTGCACCTCCGAGCTCCCCAAAGCTGTGATCAGGCGCAGAGCTGTGCTCTCAACACTTCAGGACAAAGACAGAAAGAGGAATGATGACTCTTTTTCACTACATCATAATCCTGATGAACATTTTTTTGTGCTTAATTTGTTTCTCAGTTGAGTTGGACAACATGAGAACATGTTGTGTGGGACTTTTCTGTCTTCCACAGTTAGTTTACCTGAGTAAATAATTAGAATTAAGCAAATAACTATTTCAAACAGAAGGACTTAAAAGAATAACTTTCAAGTTTCAGATCATTTTCGCTTCATGGTAGGAACATCACAAATTTCAAGTTCAAAGGCAATAAAGTGCATTAAAAGAGCACACAACACTCACGCTGCATTTTAATATTTGTTTTGATTTAATCTTTCGACTTCAAAAAGCAACAAAATGTGTAATTTTGCTTTAAATTTCTAATATTAGCAGGAACTAGCTATATGCGACACATGCTTCTACATTACCACAGATGTAGCTGGTTCTGGTTGGTCTGTGGCACAGCAGCCAAGCTGTGCAGGTGACTCAGCAGCTGGACTCTGTAGTGTGGCTGGATGTGATGCATCCTGTAACTGAACATCTCCAGTAATGTGTGAAGGATTCCCCACGCGTGAGACTTGAACACGTTGGGCAACAACTGACCTGGACAGACAAGAGTGTTTCTCATTATTTAAAACGTTTCTGGAGCTCCAAAGAGAATAAATAATAATGTAACTGTGTCCCAGTAAACTGTAACACTTGCAAATTTTACTAGCTCAATATATCGATAGTACTGCAAAACCCCATAATGAAACAGTATCATGTAAATAAACCTGCTTCCTCAGTAAATGTCATTAAAATGTTCATGATACTATAAATATAGAGATTAATAACACTATTCTGAAGCCTGACACATTCAGACGGCTTTATGTCGGCTATTTGCAGAGCTGGGAAGTAATGAAGTACAAATACTTCATACTTTACTTACGGTAAGTAGAATTTTCATGTATCTGTACTTTACCTGAGCATTTATTTTTCAGGCAACTTTTTACTTTTACAAATATCTGTATATTCTTCTCTTTACATTTTTACAACTATTAGTCGTTAAGAAGCAAAATGATCTCCTCCTCAAATAAGATAATATTTCATACATCTACAATTCAACATAGTGCAAACTTTAAGTGAGTTTTAAAAATAGACTCACTGATGAATCCTTTGATGCCCAGGGACTCAATTTCCATGTAGACCAACAATCTGCTGTACGTCTCTACCAATGCAGGGGCAAGAGCAATGCTGGACTTGGCATGGGCCAATTTGATGACACGCGTGGCAATACTGTGGATCAGACTGGAGACCGGAGGGCAGGCGATCAGGGATTTGAAGTAGAAGAAATTAATTAAAACATTCTCTGTGTTTTACTCATTTACCTCATCTTTGCATGCACAGTGAGCGAATCCAGCAGATTCATGGGCAGCGGAGTGACCGATCCCGAAGCCATACAGTTGGTGCCGGGAAGGTTGATCCTCATGGATCCATTTCCATAGATGGTCTCAACCAGGACGCCCATTGGCAGAGTGAAGCACTCCGAGTTGGTGCTGTAGGCGTTACACAGCAGGGCGATCTTATAGTCGGACATGCCCAGGGTCTTGTTACGCAGCGACTGCTGAAGAAATCTAAAGAAAGAAGGGGAAAAGCGGTGGACAGAGAGCCGCAGAGGACGTTTGTCATTTTATGAATTCTGGGCGACATTAGCAATTAACCAGGTATGCCCTGTTTAGGGAAAATTATGACTTTTGAAGTATTTATTATCGCTAAATGCATATCTTTGTGAAAGACATACTCATGGTGCAGCTTCAGAGAGTGCGGTATGGGTATCTGCAGTTTGGAGTTGTCGTTCTGAGCTTTGCGGTTCAAATGGATCCAGATGCAGGTCATAGCGAACGAATGGGTCGACTGGGGTTTGTTAATGTCAGGAACTGGAATGCACTGAAGAGGAACAGAAACAGTAAAATATTAGAATGATGAATATTTAAAATATAGTTCTCTTTCATAGCATTCGTTTCGTGTCTCACTATGGGAACGCCTCCTGCGTGACCTCATCAGAAGCTCAAATACCATTACGCCAGCCCTTACAGGCTGGCTAGGTGACGCCCATGTCAGGAGGGGCCAGTGCCTCCCTATATAATAGGCTGACATAGCGTCAGATGTCATTCAAAAACCTCT